AAAAATTATTGAATTAGTTGAAGGATTTTGCTGTTCATAACTATTTTTTTTAACTTGGGAAGGATTCTGCAAAATCGCAGCGCGACCTGTGATTGCATTTTTTCACTGGAATAACCAATGGTATACCAATAGTTAAGTGGTAAAGCTTTTGAGCCTCTAACACTAAAATTGTGTGGAACCCTGTAGAGAGCAGAGCGCACATAGCGTACATAGGGCAGTTTTGTACTTAACAGCAAATAAACAATTTTAACCTCCTCCCTCGGTGGCTTAGCGTTTAGTCTTAGGACTTACAACGATAAAAATTTAGATACTCGCGGATACACAAATGAAGATAAAAATAGAAACTAGCTCTTTAAAAAAGACGAAAAAAAGATAGGAAAGGAAGTGGGAACGTTTTAACTTTATTAGAGTCAAAATAAATTACTTTTAAGAACAACAATTTAAAGATTATCAAATTGGTACAGGCTGAATGGACTTCTAAAATTATAAGAAAATTCAAACACTTTTTATTGCTATTTTCTCGAGCAGCTTTCTGTCAGTGTGATTTTTCAAAGTTCAGTACTCATAAAGAATAGGGCCAGTGGTAGCGTGCCGAACTGTGAATGTGCGAGTCCAGTGTTTGCGTCCTGTTATCGAAAAAAAAACAAAAACAACCGCTATTAGCATTTTGGGGACAAAGGTGCGTTATAAGGATAATGGTCAACTCCCACTATTCGGCGAGGCAAAAATAACCAAAAAGGTTGTGGTGGATGCTTTCGACCAATTGAATTCCCTCTAATCTATCAGCTCAGTATCCCGGTGTTTCAGCGGTAAGTTTAGAGACTTACAATGCAAAAATCCAGGATACGACTCTCTGCGGTGGACATTGTGTATCTTTACACTAAAAGCAACAACACTAACTATCAGTTCAAAATTAGGGACGGCTAGCACAAAAAGCTCTTGAGGAACTTTGCGACGAATATTCGGAAACAAACAAACACATTTCTGTGGTGTCGGTCATTATCCGCTTGATGAAGTAAACGGATCGCTTGAATTGATTATCATCGTAAAGTTAAGCTTAGTCAACTTATAAACATGCTTAATGTATTCTAGTTTTGTTCTGTATTTTTATACGAATGCTTTTATTAGCCAGCAGAAATAAAATCTCCATTCATACATTCACGTTACGTTTTTAATTACGGCATAATTTTATAGGTCATTTATTTAGATAAAAAACCAACACTTAAACTAACTGTTATATTATTGTAAATATTTAGTAATTTTTTAAACGAAACATAACTAATCGTTACTATTCACCTCGAAACTAATGTTTAGCGGATTCTATCTAAAAATCACTATGCGTCTCCAGTTTATGGTTGTCTGTTTAAAAGACTGTGGATGTATTTTTTCGGATCTTGGAAATTCAGTCAGTTGCTAACCAGTAGAAAATGTTATTAATGATGATGTCGGGCTGAGAAATGAAACTTAAAACTTAATTCAAATAAAAAAGGAAACCTAATCTTGATGAGAAACTCAAGAAGTATGCCTATTATTGTACTCACTTAGGATTTTTTTTTTTCTGAATCTAAATGTATATGTTTCTCAATATTTTTTAAATAAACAACTACAGACAAATGGCGCCCAACTTTGGTGTGAAAACATAAAACTTAAAAAAAGTAAGTTTCAAGCAGGGGTGAAATTCTCAAAAAAAAGTAAAGGTACTCAGCTGGGCGAAGTGGGCCTGTTTTTGAAAAAGAAAAATTCTTCATGTAAACCCTAAAAAACGACAAAGCAGTTCAAATAAGTACCGGTACTAGTACCGCCTTCAAAAATAAGTTCGGGTACTCAGTACCTGTGGCTATCGGCAGCATTTCACCCCTGGTTTCAAGAAAGTTTAAACGATGTGATGCCAAAAGGCATAGGAGTGGAATATCTATAAAATCACCACTTTTATAACTATTCCTCGTCTTGGTATTTCCTTAGAAATTTATAAATTCACAAATTAACCACAATCCTTCAAATATGTCATATTTTATTTTGTAGTAACATATTATGTAGTAACATATTGTGAAACATCTGATTGACACGATTTTAAATTTTAAATATGAAATGTTATGCTTAGATAAAACGTTTTTGAAGTATTTTAATACTGGATTATAAGGTGGGTTAGTATTACATATAATTTAAGTGGAAAATATAAGATTTCCACTGGTTTCTTGCATTCCCATTACGGTAACAAAATATTTTATAAATTAAAAATCTGCTGAACAAAAGATGTACTATAGGCATTTTCAGCTCCAAAAATTGGGATATTCTTTCTCTGACTACCAGGCGTGTCAAAAGTTGATAATTCTTAAAGTTTGTTTGTTGTTAAGCGCAAAGCTACACAACGGACTATCTGTGCTGTGTCCACCATAGTTATCAAAATCTGGTTTTTATCTTTGTGACTACAGCACAGTCCACTGTGTAGCTTTGTGCTTAACAATAAAACAAACTAGCTAACAAACATTGTTTCAGTTTGGAGTCGTGTGGGAAGTGAACTATTTTGTGGGTAATAATTGAAAGGTTCCTTTGGCTGGGTACCAAATATAAACCAGTTCATTCCTGGTTGAGTAACTTCTGTATTTCAAGAGGACACTATCACTACATCAAATTTCTTGATATAAGGCTTTACTCTTTATTTTCACCCATATTTTCTTCTCTTCCAAAAAGCACCTTTCCACAGTAGAACTTCAGCGTAGTAGTACTTTTCTTTGTACCTTTCGGGCGGATTTCTGAGCATAACATCCACAGAAAACTTATTTTCCTTCCCAGTGTAATGAGTTTGGTGAGCAGTCAGTAGACTAGTTTTTCTTTTGGTCGGTAAGTCATGGTGTCATCGTCATCTCTAATTCATACAACCCACGGCTGGTGCTGAAAAATGTTTTTAATATTGTTCTTTTCTAGTCCTACTTAACTGTTATCCAGTGTCTAAATCTAAGGAACAAACCAATAAACACAATTTAGACTGTCCAGGCACTCGGTAAGGTGAGTAAGGAGAGTGAGGATTTTTACTTTCATGAAGTATATAAAGAACTTCGGTGTCTATTATGTCTTTTTATAAAGAATCACTGGTAATAATAACTTATTTTTTCGAAGTCTCAACAATCTATTCTAGTCAGCATTCCACCAATAGGTTGACTGGCTAGATATTAAGTAACTTGTAGCAGTCTGCATGAAACTGTTTGATAGATTGTGCCTCTCTGTTGATTTTATTTTTCTAAGTCTTCTATGCTTGTTTCTTTGGTCAAATAATGTGTCAAAATGACGAGTCTTAGCTTTCAATCAACATTTACAAACTGTCTCTGATATTTCGTCAACAAATGAACCAAAACCTGATATCTTCTGTATCATTTTCATTCTTTCTTTTCTTCTATCAAAGTTTGCACGATATAATAGTAGTTACTGTACCTATTGAACTAATCTCAATCTTGCTGTTTTTGGTTTCCAAAAGGTATCTTATATCATAAATCGTATTGTACAATGAAGTCTATAAGTGTTTACAGATCAGAACTACAGTGGCCACTCTTTCAGGAGTATCATCTATCTGAGTTGCAACAGATCAATTTCTAGTCACACTGGTTGTCTGTTTAAAATATCTTTTTGGATCTTGAAAATGCAGTCTGTTTTCTTGTGATTGAATTTTTGTTGCAGCAAGATATCATCACTCATTGCAGCTCACCACAACTTTGCATTAGAACATGATAGATGCAGCCAGTAGTTATAATTATGATAAGTCCAGTATCACAATTAAAAATATTGTATCGCTAAGATTAGCTCTCGAACTATATAGAACAAGGAGCTAAGGACAACAACATCAGAGAATAATTGAAAGTTTGTGGAGAAACTACAGTGAAGAACATATGATTATAAGTGAAAATTGAGCTTCACTGGCAAGATTGAAATTAGGTGGATTGAGGGCAATGGGTGTAGCAAAGCGTTTACTTTGTGACGCAAAGTCATCTAAAGTTCTATGAATCTGTCATCAAAACTCTGATGGTGGCTTTTCTTCTCTAACATATAGCATATACATACTAAAATGTCCAGTATAGTCCATTGTTTTAACTTTATTAGTGTTTTTCTTTTACACGATCCCAAACTCCTCCAGGAATAAAAAATACTTCCTCTTTGCTTTGAGTTTTGGATAATTATGGCGGGTTTGATAAAATCCAACATTCAAAAGAGTGACAGCTGGTTTACAAATAAAACCATCAATTGTATATTCATATTCAGAAATATTCCCTTTCAATAAATATCTTTGTTTAATTCAGTGATACTACGTTTAGACAAAGACTTCTCTTGTTTTGGCGTAAACTAAAAGAAACTCAGGTTACAGGGCTGATGAGTTTAACACTTCTGTTAATTGAGTAAAGTTGAGTTAATTAACTCTGCTTTTCAGGGGTCAAGGAACTCAAAGGTAATTTCTTACAACCTAAGCTCTCCACCCAGTTTTAAGACTCATCTTTATTATTTATAGATGTTAATATGACATTTTCTTTCTTTGTAATATACCTATACTTGACAACAGTTAATATTTTCACAGCAGTGTTTATCAGTTTTGTACGTTTATGTCACCCCCCCCCCCCAGTGAATCAGCCATATCAAACAAAACTTGTCACACATGCATCAGTAACAGTGGTGAGCAGTTAAACTTTTTCTCACCATGGGTATCGAACCTTGATTTGAGGGGGTTATAAACCGTGAAGCCGTGAAAAGAGTCGAACAGGAACTGAACATCGTTGAGGAGTCCGGCGTTGGCTGAGTCAGGAAGGTCGAATGGCCTGTTGCAGGAGCGTTACAGGAGCAGGAAGATCCAGACATGCACCACAACTGCTAGGGTCGTAACGCGTGTTTAGTTGTAATGGATTTGGCAGTGAAAGAAAATACTTTATTTATGTCGTTTGTAGTTGTTTTTATTAATTGATTTAATTGTTTTTAAAAGTTTTTAAATGTACACTCTCTCATTAATTAACAAGACTTAAGAAGACTAGTATCGCCCTCTCTTGATTAAATAGTTCTTGTAGTTGTACGATGCTGACTGCACGGAAGTAAATAATTATGAGTAGGACCAGAAGTTTACCAAATGTTCTTGTTACAGGTAACATTTTTTGTGTGTCATCGTTATAATAGCGGAATTTTGTGTAATTAATTCATACATTTTCTTGTTAATATTATCTATACATTAACGATTTAGTTATATCATATGGAAAGAAACCTTTGTAATTGCATTGTCATGAAAATGAGTGCGATGCGACACGTGGATGTCAACAGTGGCTCCAAGCTTTTAGGGTCTGTGGTTAGGCCTAAAGTAAACGATAATATTTTGCTAGATTACATCATTTAATGTAGAATAGTTTAAAATAACAGTTTGAGTTTTTCCGTTTTTGGCTCGAATATGTGATTGCTTTAGTTGTCAATTTTAAAAGTTAAATCAAAAAGTCCTTTTAAGTTTTATTTCATGTTTAATAATAAAAAATACATGTACTAATAGTAATATCCTGAGATCGAAAGGTTTTGTGTATATGGAAAGTCAGGCATTTTATGTTTTATGTTATCAGTTAAGAGGCATATAACATATTTTTTAATGCAATTGATTATTTTTGTCATTTTTTTCAGTTTATCAAAATATCAGCAAATATAATTAGTAATAGTATATTCTCATATGGGAACTATGATGTGTCTGAATATCCTTCTTATTTATAATTATCTGTCAGAGGAACGTTTTATTTTTTGTAATTTGTAATGTTTATTCGTGTCTGTATGTTGTAAATATCAGGATATTGAGAAATATGCCCCAACCTAAGCTGGATGCAGAGACTTTTAGCTCTTAATGCAAGTGTCATATCTCTGTGGACCAAGCATAACCTAGTGGTTAGCATACCAGACTGTGAACCCGAGAGTCCATTGTTTGTGTCCTGTTACCACAAAATTGAGCTCCCCACTTTGAAGCCATCTTTGGGTTATAAAATGATGATAAAATCCTACTATACAAATAAAGTAGCAAAGAATTGATGGTGGGTGATGTTGACAAGCTGTCAAGCTCCTAGTCTGTCAGTTCAAAATTAGGGCTGACTAGTACAGATAGTCCATGCGTAGTTTTGCAGAAATATCTAAAAACATAAAAACAAGAATTCAATTCAGGATAATATTTGACTTAGAACTTGGAGTCAACAGCACATCAGCCCCAAAACTTGGGATAGTAAATGAGATATGCATATAACACACATTTTTTTATTTATTTACTGTTCTTGGATACCCCTCAGGGATGAAAAACTACTTGTTGGTGATTGTTCAGGAGGCTAATAAATGTTGAATTTTATCATTTTCTTTTGCCTTTTTTTTATTAAATCAATCAGCAGTTTTAGCTAAGTGTAAGTGTTTGTGTCAGTACTCTTTTTCTGTCATCTAGATTTCACAAGAACAGTAAGCCAAGTTCTAGAGCTTGGAAGTGAGTTTAATCTGCTAATCAATTAATTATTGGGCACACTATCAATTATGATCAACTAATCAGTATTCTCATGAGGCTTGGCTATTTGGAATAATGAAAAATAGCAACAATCAGATATGCTCAGTTCAATTAATTGATTATTTGTATGATTTATGACACTAGTCAATTAAGCTATACAACATTTATTTGATTGTAAATAATAATGCAATATAATTACTTGGATATTTGGAAATACAAATTTTGATTATTTGATTTTTTCATGACTGACGTAATCATAATTTTGATTAATTATTTTATGTGACTAATCAATGCAGTTGATGCTGAAATATAACTGAATAATCAAATTAATTATTCATCTCTAGGTTATGTGTACTTTTTTAAGACTAAATTATGAAATTAATTTGATATAGTTTTATTTAAATATAGGTAGAAAATTTCTGTAAATTAATTCTTGAAGTTTTGGAACAACTTTTCAAAGTGTGAGAAAGAAACTTCTGCTCATCAAGAAATTTATTGTTAAACTTGGAAATAGTTTAGCAAGAAGATGGTTGTGTCTTTTAGCTTTCAAAAGTCTTAATCACTGGAAAATTATTGATGCTTGGAAGATTGGTTATGGGATCATAGTTTTTAAAAGTTGATGAAAGACTCAGAAATCTAGAAATTATGGGTGTATTAGTTTGACTTCTGTTATTTTTTTATTTAATTCTGTTGCAACAGGTTATTAAAAAAAAGCTTCTTGAAATTTGTCATTTGATAAGTATTTTTCAGCATGGCTTTAGAATGAGGATTTCTTACTTAACAAAATATTTGGATAAAAACACCATGCATGTCTTTGCTATTGTTTTTTTTTTCTTAAGATGTTACATAAAAGTTAAAATTGAAAAGTTAGATTGTGTTTTAATTGATGAAAAATTAAGAAGTTCCAAGAAAATATAGATATGGATATGATGGATAAAGTTATGAGAATATCATCTATTTTAGAAACTTGAGTTATCAAGAGTGCTTTTAACATGTTAACTCAATTTCTGTGGAGAATGAGCTTTGTTGATGCAGGTGTTAGCAGTTCAGATAATCTGCTTGTGGGTAGACCACTTGAGTGTCAAGATTAAAATGTGTTTATATGGGAAAGAAAAGTATTATGCTCCCACCCCTTTTTTATGGGTAGGGTATACAAGTTTTATATGCCCAGCTGTATACTTTTTCTTTGGTTAATTCCCAGTTTGTTATAAATTTATCATTATATTGCTGTATACAATTAGTAAAAATATGAGTTAATGATTGTTACAAAAGTATGTTGATGCAAAGGGCTATGTTTAGGTCTGTGGTTCCAAACTTCTTTCACTTCACAGACAGGCAAAATCTTTAGAGAAAGCTTTTTAGAGTATATGATCTATAGGAATGAAATGCATAAAATGTAGCTAGTTATGCAATAGAACTATAAAAAAGTTTGAAAGGATGTAGAATTTTTGTAATATTAATACTTATTCTAAAAAATTGTACATAATTTTAACTATCAGTATTGTATATTTTTCTTTTTTTTTTTCACTGAATAAATATTTTTGTGTATGTGCAAATATATTAAGTACAAGTTCAGAGTTTTAAAAGGAAATTAGTTGCATGGTGACAGGAAGGTAATTAACTTGGGAAAAGTTTACATTTTCAGACTGCCATTACGAAACATTTTTACATCAGTATAACTGCATGCTTGTAAAGTGTGTAGCTCTAAAAAATAAAAAGTTTTAAGCAAGAATAATGAAAAATGAATTTTAAGAGCAATAAAGAAGGCTAAGTTCTGTGCTATATAATCTCACTATATAAATATGAACTTCAGAAACATTTTCTTTGTAAAAGTTTTGATGATTAACATTATGTTCTGTGATAAAGATGTTATTTTTTATGAAAAAGAAACAATTTTCTTGCTGATGTGTATAAGCAAACAAGGTTCCTAAATGAAAACTAATTTCAAAGGATCTAATTTTGAGAAGAATGTTTCAGGATTTATCATCCATATGTCAAGCTACACTCAGATGTTTAAAAACAAAAATTTTATTAACTGTTATTACTTTTATTTATTGTATTTTTTTTCCTTTTGTTTTTAAAACTTATTGCAAACAACATAAACAATTTTCTTGCAGGAACTCCTGGCACAGGAAAGTCCACCTTATGTTCTGAAATCAGTCAGATTTCTGGGTTGGAATGGCTAAATATAGGAGAAATAGCAAAAGCTGGCCAGTTGTATGATGGTTATGATGAAGTGTTGGAATGTCCTGTCATTGATGAAGACCAGGTTTGATGTGGCCATTTTATCCTTTTTGTTTTTTTGAGCAGATATTTCTGGAGAGAAATTGTTCAATTTTAAGTACAGCATTAAAATCTTTTATTATCTATATTATGGAACAATATATATATTAAGAACAGCTATGATCAGTGAGTTGCCTTTTGAGGAGAGTACAAGATAAAATTTTGGTTGCTTCAGTTTTTGTTTGTCAGCTTTAAAACAAATTAATGGGGTAAATTACCCAGGAAGTTGGCTTGTCATTTATGTTAAGTCTGTTTTGGTAATCACTGTATGGACATTTAATATTTTGTTATAGAAGGAGCATTATACTTTATAATAACTTTACCTGAGCTTTACTGTTAAGATGTTAAATGCCAAAAGATGATATAGCAGTGAAACTATTAAGCCTGGAATCTGTAATGAATTAATTATACAACATGTAAAAACATCAGCAGTTGCAGTTCCATGATTTTTACCACGATTATTAAGCCTATGCATATTTATTTACCCAGACTTTCTGAAATATTAGGTATCTTTACAACTTCATAATGGTTTAGCATTTGTATTTATGAATTATATCAAATGCTGAGCTTTTTAATAAGTCACATTTATTGGCATGTAGTGTATATATCTGAAATACATCTGAAACCACTAACGAATGGGTTAAACTTGTGTAGTTTTCAATATGATTTGAAAAAAATTGGTATTAAGAATTAATAACATTGGTTGAACTGGGAAATAAGTGAAACTTGCTAGTTACTTAACCATCAAACTAATTAGTTATTCTTATATAAGATGGCTGTAAAAACATTGATTATTCTTATAGCTGAGAAAACAACTTATAAAGCAAAATATCAGGTTTTGATACAAATGTTGGCAGAGCACAGATAGCCCATTTTGTGGCTTTTTATTTAACAATAAACAGACAGAATGGTAATATTTAATTTTCTTGAATAATTAGAATGATCAAAAATAGTAATAATTGGAAACCCTATTATTAGTTTTCTGAATATTTTTGTGTTATGACACTAATTGATTAAAGTGAATAAACTCGAATTAGTAAAAAAATAATGAAAAGATCATAATGTCAATATTTTTATTATTTTCATGTCATTGATTTTATCGTAATTATGATTACTGGATAGTTGGATTATACAAAAAATACTAATAATTGGAAATACTAGTTGATTTTTTGTAACATTGATTGATTTAATCATAATTTCAATTAAGTTATTTTACACTAACCAATACTCCTGGGTGATCAATTAATTGCCCAGCTCTTAAACATTACAAAAAACAAAATCAATAACAGGTCCCTTGGCAATATGAAATATTTGTATTCATGAGATTAAAAAAAATACCCAGTGTTGGCTACCTAGTATATTAAAGTGATGACCATCCCTGTTTAACTGATAATGATTTTGTGAAATAACTTTAATGAAGACTTGAACCCTAGATCAATGATCTGAAACAAATGTTTTACCAACTTAACTAGAAGGCCTCAAGTCCCAACCAAACAATTTCTCACTCTTGTAATTAAAATATTTCTCCCATTTAGAACAAGACTTATCACTAAGCCTACAGCTCCACTTGGACTCTTAAATTCAGATGGTCTTCAAAGGTGTAATAATCCCTAGCTGCACCAATCAATGCGAGAAGCTGTATATTTGGGAGTCGAGTCTTATTACCTTACATTCTACTCTTAAAATGGTGGTGCTAGCTATTGTTTCCTTCATTTGTGGCAAACTTCATAAAATCTTTACACATTACTCCTTACTATCACTTAAGAATAATTTTTATAATGATTTAGAATATTTTATTAGATGTTTCTCAATATGTTCAAATTTTATAGAATCTAGCAATAAAATCTTATTGTGCAAAGAAATTAACTATTTTATCTTGTTTATACCAACCGTACTTACATTGGTCCTGACATGTGAAATGTTTATTACAGAGAAATACACATGTATATAGAAATATGGCCATGCAATGTTTTGTCCTTCTATTTAAGTCATCATCAGGCAACAGGAAACAATGAAGTACGATGGTTTTTGTGATTACTGAAATGTTTTTATACTATTCATTGCCAGTGACATCCACATATTGCATCACATTGAATAATTTTGGTTTTTTTGCCCATTACATACCACACTCAATGTATAAAACCAACCAAAACTTTAGTTAAAATCACTCATTTTACATGAAGTAGCATGTCAGTAATTAGTTAATTGCAATATAAATGATATTTTACTGTATGTAACTACTACTGAATATATTAGGGATCTTGTTAGCTTTAACTAACAGTTATGGATGCACAACTAATTTAGTTCTTAAATAGTTCAAAAAGCTGACGGGACACATTTGCTTCATATTTATAAATTAGCAGCAAAAGGGTAGCAGATCCTGAATGTGGAACATTGTATTTTATTATATATTTTGTCTTTATCTTCTTGTTATAATATAACTGCTTTTTTCTAAAAATAAATGTCAATTTACAATTCATACTATTTTTCCCATTTAAAAAAACATTGATCAACTATTCATGGAAATTTTTTATTTAGGAAGCAGATTTATAGAGTAAGAATTTGTTTTTGTTTACTGTAGATGGTTGATGAACTTGAAGATAAAATGACAGATGGTGGAAAGATAATTGATTATCATGGATGTGACTTCTTTCCTCAGCGTTGGTTTGATGTTGTTTTCGTTCTTAGGACTAATAACACAATACTGTATGACAGACTTGCCACAAGGTTGGTAATCAAAAGTAGTTTTATTCATATTATAGATGAAGAGTCTTTCCATTCAAAGTATTTATAAAGGTAGCTAAGTAAATCTTTAGTATGGATTTACATGAAAAGTTGGATATAGTTTATATTCTGGATTTTGAACAGTTTTTAAGAAAAAAAAATTGACAAAAAAAAAACTCCTATTAAGTGGTCAAAAGTGTAGTTCTAGGCTTAGAAATTGATACTTAATCTTTTTAATTTTAATCTGGTAATGAATAAAGCCATATCAAAAAATTATGGGTCTTGCAGATTGCCTGCATCATTTGATACCACATTGAAAAAACTAACTTTTAATGTCCTAGATAACTTATAAATGTTGAAGTGCACTGTCATTAACAACAAAGCTTCAAGAATCAAAAAGAGAATTGCAGATGGAGAAGGAACAGAATAAAAAAATATCAAATTTTTATAATGATAAAAATACTAGAGAAAAATTGATATTGTTTGAATAAATATTCCAGGGGCTACCGAGGACATAAACTTGAAAGCAATATCGAATGCGAGATTTTTCAAACTCTGCTTGATGAGGCAAAAGAATCATACAACTCTCAAATAGTGTATGAGTTACAAAGCAACACACCCGATGATCTGGAAGATAATATTGAGAAGATAAGCCAGTGGATTAACCAGTGGAAAATCCAGAACAGTCATCAATAGTGTGACTTTTTTTTTATGTAATATAAAATTGTGTACCATAATCACTCATTAAAACTTAAAATAAAGTTTCTATTTGCAATTTAAAGCATTTATTTTGTTTATTTGGAGTCCCATTTTTAGAAAGTATATGCGAAAATTTGTGTAGCAGCCATTACTAGGTAGTAATACTAAAGGATACATAGTACTTCATCAATATAATGTAAAATTTTGGTCCTTATTGTTTTATTAGTACTTCACATTTGAACAAGTAAATTACATGTGAAGTTAAATATTTTGGTTGATCCTTAATTAGTAGTACCAATTTATATATATGAATCACATAACACTCATAGTGCTATACATCTCACAGAAACATCCACATATTGCAGTTTCTTACAAACCTTTTTTTTTATCCACATACAATTCAAACATTTGTATTTTGTAAGACAGATCATAACAAATGTCAAGTTTGAATACTTTTTTTGCTCAAAGTTGTACTTACACAACTATGTGTAACAACTTGTGGAGTTGAATATCAGGCTCATTAGAAATAAAACTAACTAAGATTGAAGGCAATTTATACCGAATTGTTAATCAATTGTACACTGCTATGCATTTAGTTCATTACCATGGAAAATATAAATTATGTCCTTTGTAACTTAAGATACTGACTTATCAAATGTGTAATGCTAAAAACTTTGTACTTTACTGGCTGCATCAGCAACATTGTAGTTGAAAGTAATCTTGTAATTTACAAAATACATTTTGTGCTTTCAAATGCTGACTTGTATAGTTCACATTGTCATACAGAGGTGCTTTCTCTTTTTGCCTCTTAATTTGGGACATTGAATGTTTACATACTGCATAAAAATCTTGGTTATTATACTGGTTTTTCATGGTCACATGCCCAAGTCAAAAGAGGATAGAAATTAACATTGCATTAAAGAACTTAAAAACTAGTGTTATATATAAATATATAACACCAATGTTCCAAAAGTTAATTGTTTTTATTTCAACTGGAGATAATACATACCTGAACCATAATAAAAATATATCGTTCTCTTTTTTTTACATGTAATAAATTGTGCAATAACAAATGCAAATTTTACAAATCCACAATAACAGTAATAAGCCTTTTTGTCCTACTCCCTTGATTTATACTCAGAAGCCAAGCAGGTAGTATTAATATTTCAACCCATAACAAAATGGTCACGTTTCTAGTATACACCCAAATAAAGCAACTATAATATAGTAACCAGAGAGCTCAGGTCACAGTTAGCATAATAAAATCTAGTTTCACCTCAGTGGTGTTCATAGGGATTAACTGGAGAACAAAATACAGAAGTTCAGGAGGCACCATTAAAGTACAGTGTTCTTGATGAAATAGCAAGAGCCTGCATTAAAACATCACCCACTGAAATATACTCAGTCTACAGGTAGTTTAGCAGACCATTAGACATGCAAGACAGACCTCAAGATGTCCATACTAAACAAAGCTTACTCATAAAAGTTCGGAGGCAGCTTGAATGGGTAGTGAAAGAAACTATTATAAATGTACAATGTTTTGACAAGATTGAGACAAAACATTGCACATCACATAATTTTTTTTACAGAATATTAGTAGTTGTTCTTCTAAGTCACTACTATTAACATAAAATTAGAAACAAAAAGGAAAACAATAATAATATTAACCACTATTACATAATCTTGTTGAAACATTGTACATGTATAATAAAGTTTTTTTCATTACCCATTCAAGCAGTCTCCACACTTTTATTTTCCAAAAAGTGGGTTTCTCATCATCAAAGCTTACTCACGTTTACTCCACAGTTACACCAATTCAAGTGGATAATATCCACTCAAGGAACTGCAGCAGTCTTCTGCCTGAGAATGTTCAATTTCTGGTTTTCCTACAATTCAAATTTCCACTCAATAACTTAATATTTTAAACATAGTTTTATTCTAAACTTGTAACTTACTGAGTGTAACATTTTCAGAAGAAGTAACATCACCAATGACTAGAGTTCAGTACTGGTTATAATTTCTTGATCATGTAACAACACATTTTTTATGCTTTTTATATTTTTAAGAAAATAATGATGGGTGTAAAAAATCAATTTTTAAAGGGTTTTCATTTCTCAGTACTTTGCATCTCAAATGTTTTTTAAACAGAATGTACGCCCCCTCATAAAGTGAGTTATTATGCGCTCCAACTACAATTTTATGTCAGTCTTTCACTTATATGTAAAGACAGTTGTATTGAGAAATAAATAAAAAAAATATTTAAATCAGTATTGAGACCTTTTTCAAGATAACTGACAGAATTAATAAACTTCAACGCTTTGACATTTTTTATTGATGTTCATAATGTGGGTAAGATTTTGTAGGATCCACCATTCTATTTTTTAAACAGCATTCAGAAAGAACCTAAAGCCTGGTGATGGTAATTATTCAAATATCAACAAATAACTGAACAGGATAGAACCACTACTGAAAAGAACATTAATATATGTTGTTCCAGCAACAAACAAGATGTAAGAATCAAAGAGAATCGCAATTAAGAAACTAAAATCAATATTAGTGAATGTAGTAATGATTAAAAAAATTAATTGTATGTCATTATCAATGACTTAGAAGAATAACTACTAATGTCCTGTAAAAAAATTAATAGCTGAACTCCAGTTTTACTGTAACGTGCTACCTAACTATATTTAATTAAATTCTAGTGTTAATAAGTTAGCAAACTAAGATTCTTTAAGTGTTGAAATTTTCTGTGGAAAAATTATAGTTAAGAAAAAACTGTTCATGTATCTTTAAGACCAACATATATTACTTTTTCACGTTAAGACTTTTATCACAAAGTACATATTTTATTTAAAATGATAATTGAATGAAATCAACTGTGTTAACTATTATTAAACTTAAAAACCTATAAAGGTTACATTGTGTTAACAACTTCATTAAATTTTACATACATTTCACTTTTATTTATAGTTAAAAACCAAATTTGTTCTCAAGGTCAATGAATTACTTACAACATCACAAGTTATGAATAAATCTTAAATAAAGAATTAAAATGAAAGGTATTAATCCCACAAATACATTAATAAAAAACAAATCTTAGATCCTATGACTAGTAAGTACTTTTAATACTCATTTCTTATATTAATATTATTTCAAGAACAAGTAAAATGTTATAAAGGATTATCTTAGATACGAGTTTGAAAGTCATAATAATACTTATGCAGTAAATGCTAATAAAATATTAGTCTAAATGTTGCCTTGAATTTTTTGGCAGTGAAAGCAAAGGTATTCAATTAGAACTTCACACTATGACTTTTAAAAAACTAAATCATGGCTAGAAAAACTTGTATAAAAAAAGATTTAACATATGTTGAAAATATATAAGCATAAAACTACTCTGGCTTTATAGGTTATCCACTGCTAACTTTTACCTTGTTAAGTTAATTGTTCTCTTTGCTTACACAATACATGAGGAGTTTCCATACTCTTCAACCAAAAATAATGAAGGTTGATGAAAATCAACAGATAATGCTGCGTTTAGCTTGAATGTTCAGAAATCAACTAGTTCTCCAAAATTCAGCTTTTGTGATCAATGGATCTTGAACACACATGTTTACTTCCCACAATTTTAAGTTCCGATGGTAAAGAACAATTTGAAGATTCAAAGGAGCCTACAAGAGATAAAAAACAACAACAAAAAACATTAATAATTGTAATAACACTTGTGAAAGGATTTTACAGCAGAAGTGATTGTGTGAAGAGTTCTAACACAAAAGAATTATGAATGATTATAGATACAAAAACAACAAGATCCACTACTTAATACATCTTGGAAACAAAGAACAACCACAAACATTATAAGTGAATAAAAAACATTAACAATCCATATTTTAATACTTTTCATGGGCTTAACTCATTCTTTCTCTTCCAAACATTATTCTAAATGTAATATATTTCACTTAAATTGCTTCTCTTTTCAGGTTTGATTTGTTATGAAAACAATGCTTTGCACAGTGCTATGTCACCAATGAATTGTTCTTAATTCTAGTTAATATCAAGCCCAATTGTGTGGTATAGAGATGAACAATTTGTATTTGTCAGTAGAAAAAAACAAAACAATATAACTCATATTTCATGAAAATACCACAATCATATAACACACAAACAAAAGAGGAAATAGTAATTTGTAAAAACTTTTCTTGGAACAATATCAGTGGTCTAAAGTGAATTATTATAAATTATAGAGTACAGCCTACTATCCTTTTTTTTTTCACTAAAGTTTCTAATTATTAATATTAACTTCTGATCAGAGGAAGCTACCTACTTTGAGAAAACTAAAATCACCCCAGTAATGAGTATAGCTAATTATATATACTTTTTTTACATTCCTACTGATAAATATTAGAATGTATTGTTTCATCAGTTGAGTACCTACATTGATGATAATATTTTGGCCAAAACTTTGGACAATCTTTTTTAAAATGTCTTGTGACGAATGAAAAATTCATTAACCCTGTCAGAATGGTCTTGTAACTACCATGAAAGTATACATACTGTATCTCTGAAGTACTTTTGTCTTCGTGAAATTTGGCAAAAATTTAGTAAACATGATAAGTATTTTGTACAGAAAAAATAAGATTTTTTAATGAAGTATTTTTACTGAAAATGTGTCCTTGAATAAATGAAGGCAGAGTGCTGACTGTTCTGAATGCAAAGTGATTTTCATGTTAAGATTAAAAATACTTTATCTGAAAATTATGAAATTTAATTTGCATAATCTGTAAGACCTCCTAAATAAATATCCAACTTTTTTTGTAAAACTTTATATTTTATCTGTTATTTTCTCTACCCTAATTTTATATCCATTCGGTCAATTTGATCGACCTCATAACCAACATAAAAAATACAAAAAAAAAATCAAATTTACCCTTTTTTCTATCTACAATGACTGTAACATGAAACTAAATTTTTTTTATCCTAAATAACCCAGAACTTGTAACAGTATACATATGTTTAAACTTAATTTTATTGTTCTGTTGCCCCTTGAACTAATAACCCTGCCACATAAGTTATGACTCATTTAGCAAATGTGTAGCTCATGTTACCATATCAAATTATGTAATGCACGAGCTGAAGAATATTTATTATTATTATTTTCCATTATTTTATCTAGACTAATAAGTTTCTGATTTTTACATTTTAGTTACTTTTATAATAATAATAACACATAAAAAACAACAAATATAATACTTACCTTGGCCCTCATGTTTTGTTCCTGTCGACTATTGATGTAAATTAAGCCTACTTTTTTTATACTAATGGTATTACTACACTAAATAATTTTTATTCGATTAAATAATGAACTAAGAACAATATCCTATAACTATCATAATTTATCTGGCTTTCTAACTGTGTGATAAGAGCCTTTAAAAATTCTGATAAGCTTGCTAATATGAATACTGTGAGAAAAAGCTACAAACTGAAAGCAAAATAGACAATTATCTGTACAGAAAACAACATAATATAATAGCATTTATAGCATAAAACTTTGACTTTCTATTTCTTATAAATAATATAGCATAAAACATCAGAGAGAACTATTGGCATTTTGTGAAAGAGAATGTGACAGATAGGTGTGGAAAGTGGATCAGATTTTCTAGTTTATGGCTGTGTAAACAAATAAGGTAGAAGGCTATAAAAATTATACTTTGTGTTAGTAATATCTATATTATAATGAGTAATTTATGTTATATTCCATACTTCTCATAGAGGTGGTGAATGAATGAGAAAGGAAGAAATACCTAAAGAACAAATGTCACAATTCTCATATGAGGAGAGATTAAAAATTTCTTTAAATAATTCCTTGTAAAATTAAGAACTTAAAACTTACATAACATCCAAATTTGATTTACTATCTAAGTTGTGATGCCAAATTTATTTGTATACGATGATAATAAAGTAGTTTAATTAAAATTTTAATGTAACTCTCTAAAAAGTCATCAGTTTAATTTTAGTGGAGTCTGACCAACATCCAAGATAAACTGCTATGGCGCAAGTTACTGGTCAGGTGTTGAGTAAAGTAGCAGGACACTACCAACAGTGTAGTTACAAACTAATGTTTATGAAGATCAAATGAAGACCTGAATCATAAAGAATAAAGCTTGATTAATGGTATTCTAAGTAAAATATAGCATTGTTAGATGTAATAAAAATAAGATTGATATATTCAACATACTATGCGGTGTGTTTAACATAATTAAACCAATTTTGCCTAATGCCCGTCACTTAACAAAACATATGGAGCAGGAAAAAAAGAAGTAAGAAATAAAGTTAAATCTTCTGTAAAAGTTCTTGGAAGGAGTCCTCAGTAAGCCTTTTCCTGAAATAGAGCCAGTGATAAAGTACAGGAACTTATTTTGGATGACTTTAAAATACCCTTTTGTTTCCTCTCAAACTCATACAAGGAGAAAGCATGCACTCCCTTTCTCTTACTTCACTTTAATTTACACTTTGCATCTTTTTTTGTTAACTTATTATCTTCTACATGCTACTCTTCATTCATCATTAGAACAGTACATTCATGATGTTAGAAAAACATGTAGGTTCAAGAAGTCTTGATAAAAATGAATAAAAAATATATATATATATCACTCATTCAGTTACACCACCATTTTAAGTTTGCCTCTGAAGAAGAAAGTCCACCTTTCGAAAGTGCTCAGGTTATAGGGTTTTTATTCATTTCTATTAGAAAAGTACATTTATTCTTACCTGAAGAATTTGAAGACTGGTGATGGTGAAGACTGTTTCAAGGTCATAAGAAGTAGTCTGAATGATCTTCACACGGTTTCTATCACAATTAACTTCAGCTGAATTCTGCATTAAAAGTTATATTACTATGATGGTTAAAGCTCTTGCAGCTTTCAATTTTGCCAAACATGTATTTAACAATTATGAAGTTAAATGTACGGTAAATGTTACATACAATAAATAAATAAATATATATCAAAAATAGCAAAATCAGCCAATATATTCAGTACAGAAAATATCACTGATAAGAAAGAAAAACCATACTGAAACAATCAAATTATGTAGTAATGGCTTAATTAACTTTTTTTAATAAACAATGCCCTATATTTTTTCCTTACTATTTGACTACTTGTACTGTAAATAATTAACAGAAGTTCCCTGTTATGTTAAACTTAAAACCTGTTTATTGTCGAATATACTGAGTATAATATTTATAGTTACAACATTTCACCAAGTTAATCTGGCATCATCATCAGGTACAACAACCACAATACATAAAAATTTGTTCAAAACAATAACTTCAATTTATAACACGGATTGTTTAACAGTAGTTGCCCCCCCCCCTCAGTCCCAACTTTCATTTCTCAAAATGTTAAAAAAATGCAGTCTTCTTGTTCTATGAGACAAAAAAGAACTAACTGATCACCTATGTAAAACATGTTATTGGTATTTTCTGTAGCCATTGAGACTTTTTCTTTATTGTTATCATTTGCACATTCTATTGTTAAAAAAATGTATGCAGTTAAGAATATTGTAATAATATACATCTTTCCACATGATAAAAGTTAATAATCAAAAGATTTTTTCAAATAATGTCACTTTATATTCATTTTACACGTAAAACAGTTACTCTATAGTTAAATAGTTGCAGAACATAAGCACAATGTGCAGCTCCCCAATTCTTTGCTACCTGTTTAAATAGTGAAAAAAACAGCTATAAAATACAGTATTTAAAACTTATTATATTTTGCATGCATCTCTTAAACAAATATAAAATGTCAAAACAGTTGTTGACTATGTCTACTATACTCCCAAATTATACACACCTGTAGTATCATATCTATCTCAAAATCTTTCAATTTTTCTGCAGACTTTTCTTCCAATAAAAGTCTTATTATCACGTCCATAGTATTGCAGAAGGTATCCAAGTGTTTCCTGAACCATATCTCCAAAGAAACTCCATCTTCCTTGTTACTGAACTTACAGGGAGCTGGAGGTTCTGAAAAGCAGGAAAAAAGCTGAGCTCACTACACAGAGTTAACTTTTAGATATTGATAATGTTCTAACCTGTTCATCCAACAAGTAACCTTAATTTTAAGGTTGCCTAGAATCTCTGAAACTTATGTAAACATGATCATTACTAATTATACACATCATAAGGGACTATATTAAAATTATAACAGGCTAAACATGGTGTCTTATGACAAGTATAATTATAATCATGCTTCACCAGCTTGTAAAAAGCATTCATAACATAACATGATCATTACTAGTTTATAACTTATCCAGCAAAAAATAAAAGTTTATGCAATAAATACTTTTCTATGTGTGCAGCAAAAAAAAATTAGGAAGATTTTCAAGCTGTTGTGTAAAATTAATTTTTTTTATTCAGTATCTGATAAGCTCTGAATGAGAGTAAAGTATTTGTCAATTCACTGACAGCAAAGAGTTCACAAAAGCATGACTAATATATAACTGAGAATCTCATTCATTACTACTCCTCTCTGGAAGATTTGTAAAGAACCATTCACTAAAACAATTTTGGATAGATCAAAATCACTGTGGCAATTCAAGAATATACACAGTTATCTGATCACTGCAAAAACAAAAGATACATGAACTTAGTATGTGGAAGAAAAAGTGCAACAATTTGTTTCAAATGGCTTAAAAGAGTCATAAAACGTTATCCACAGATGTAAAAAACAACAACAGATGATCATGTGATCAGTGGGAAAAAGTAAAAAAAAAAATTAAGGTGAAGAATAGAACACAAGAATAGGATGAGATATGGAAAGAACTTGTACAAGTGAGTCTTTGCAGCTGACAAATCAGAAAACAGGTCACCATGCAGGTATTCCAAGAAAAAGCAGATGGATTCCTCAAATGGCTAGGTTACAAAAAGTAACACCACAGACCACATTTACAAATTTAGCATGACTTAAACCAGATTGAGCATGTTCCAAAATTAGAGCTCAGAAAACTTATTTTTGGAGATATGGAAAATATACTCTATAGGAGTATGACATGTAATATTCAGATCCTACAACACAATTGTTCACTGATAATCAATAACTGATAGGCAAGTTTAAAAATTATATTACTGTGATTAATTTCACAGAAGTATTTAAATTTTACATATAACTGGAAGTCTAGGCTAGTGTTAGCTTTATTTGTTTGACAACAACCCTTGCACTAATAGAACAACTTGTGGATTAGGTTTTAACCACACATACAGCAAAATGTAGTAGTCACTCACATAAGTTTACAAATTGTTTAAAGTTAGTGATACATTTTTAACCCCGTTATAGCGGCTCGTAGAATAGCTGTGATTTTTTTTTCAAGTAAAAACTTTTAGCTCATAGCTGCATCATCTCTTGACCAATTTAAGAGCTAATTTCAGTTTTGGACTCAGGAAGTCCAACCCTTTCAACTGATGTATTCGACCATGCCCAAAGATTAATTTACTCTAGTCCTGCCTAAAAGAATTTCAATTTGAGGGTAGGCTGGTAGAGATTGTGATTAGGAATAAAATTGAAATGGGTATACACATGCCACATACTTGGTATTGCTGGAGCACAAAAATATGATTAATAAAAAGGAAAGAAAAGTCTCATAGATTAATTTACTCTAGTTCTGCCTAAAAGAATTTCAAGTGCCACAACTATTGAGGATTCCCTCTTGTTTACCCTTAATAAGTTAATTTTCATTCAGCTTTTGTAAACTTACTGTTAGTTTTTCAATCATACATGAGACACAGGAAAAGATTTACATGTGAATGAGGGAGCTTTTTAATTTTTAAATTGCAGTGCCCTCTTTTGATGTAGTCAAATATTGTGTTATTCATTTGTAAGAATACTTCATATTTAAGTTTTTTTCTTTTAGGACACATCGACATGTTATAGTAAACTTCTTTATCAAAACCTACAGTTTCGAATACTGATATGTTCTGAATACTATAAATCTTATGTCCAAAATATTGACTTTACAAAAGTTAAACTGAAAATAACATATTTCACTCTGTGTTTATAATTCATTTAATAATCACAAGTTGTTACTTGATATTCTCTGTCTTAATTTTTCTTATTATGTTAAATCTAAATTAAGTCAGAGCAGATGTGAAAATATGGTTTAGTTACCAACCTGTAAGTTTTTGCCATTGGAGAAGTAGTGTTTTATAATTCTGATCATCAGAGGTGCTCCTATTCAGTGGATCAAGCAAGCTTAAACGTCGAGACAAGTTACATACCATCGAGGGATACTGCATCTCACTCACGTGCTCATCAAGCTCCATATCTACAATGTAGTAAAGAACAGATAAATCTTTGTGGTTCTAACTTCACGGAAAAATGCAATTACAATGCACATAATATATGAACAACAAATATCTTTAAACTGCTGTAAAAACAATTACATTTCATCCAAACAATCTACTTATGGTAAAGGATCAAGTGAATTACATAGAAAATTTTTTGCTGTTTGAAAATCAGTAGCCATTTTAAATCTGTAATGGACAAATTAAGAGGGATGTATGACAAAAACCTGTAGGGTCAAATGAGATTTTAATAATTTTTCTTTAGCCTAAAAAGTCTTAGAAATTTTGTACCACTGTAATAAGTACAAGAAATC